CTGTGGCCGGAGCCGAGGTAAAATTGGTGACACGTAGTCACTGTGGCCGGAGCCGAGGTAAAATTGGTGACACGTAGTCACTGTGGCCGGAGCCGAGGTAAAAAGAATGACTTGACAGTTTTTGAGAGTTTGTGTAAGGGGGTTTATCATGGGCCTAAAATAGGCCTATTTATGGAGTGCCAAAGTCGGTTAACTCAGTGGGCGACAGTTGTCATGGAAGAACGTGCCGTAATAAATATCGTCTGCAGAAAGTAACCGTCACATTTGAAGAGACACGACGGTAAATTAAACGGCGAATTTGAAAGGGCACGGTTGTGACGGTTTAAGAAAGTTAATCGTGACCGTCAAGATATGTTTTTTACCGTCATATATATATTCATAGTTAGAAAAATCCAACCCATTTCGCTATTATTTGTAGAAAAAGTCGTCGGTGTTTGCTGTGTTCGACATCGTTCGTCCGTTTCCGTAAAAACCAGGTAATCTGCGAGCGTTTGAGTGTCTTTTTTCTACCTTTTTTGTTGTGAGAATGTCTTATGAGGAGACGCTTAGTGACGGCAGAGTGAGGGGGAGGGTTGAGGAGGTAGAGAGTAGGGATTTGGGGGTGCCGTTGAACATTTTGGAAAGAGAGGATGGACGAGAGCCGTGTTTCAACCCTGAGGAGGAGGTTGTTAGTGAGGTGGTAGGGTATGAATCAATGCTGGGAAATAGGGGTAGTTTGGCCCACCTAGTTGAGAACTATGGGGTGCCAGGGCATGTGTTGGTGAGGCCGGCGGGGAGTAGAGAGAGGGCGTGTTCGGCCCCAGGGGACCATTGGATGCCTCTCTACTCCCATTACTTGGCGACTGGGTTGCGATTCCCTCTCCCAGACCTGTTGGTGTGGTTGTTGTTAGAGTATGGTCTGGGATTAACGCAACTCACCCCCAATGCCGTGAGGTTGGTGGTGGCGTTTGCGGTGTATAGCCGAAGTCGGGGGGTAAGTTTTCCCACCGCTAACGTATTCAAGTATTTTTACGTCTTGAATGCTGGGAGTGGTAGGGAAAAGGGGTGGTATTACTTTACGGGTCGGGTGGTGAATAAATAGAGGAGGGGTTTGTTTAGCGTTGGGCCATCTTCCATTAAAGGGTGGAAAGATAAATTCTTTTTTGCAGATGACACGGAGTGGGATAAGACTGATGCTGAGGTGGAACACTTGAGTCGTTAGAAGGCGAAAGGGTTAAACCTCAATGAGTATAGTCTGACCCCGGGGGAGTTAGAGGATGTGGGGGAGTTGGAAAGAAGGGGTGTGGGTTTGCTAGACGTTATGGAGTATACGAGCCAAAGGATGTTAGACGCGGCTAAGATATATGGGCCGAGCTCGCAGAGAGGAGGTGTGTAACTGTAATTGTTGATTTAGTCCGAGAATTTTGATCAGAGTTTAAACTTGTTTTGTTTTGCAGAAGAAATGAACAAGTTTCTGGACGCAGCTGGTGGAGCTGGCATTCCGAAGAAGGGGAGGGGAAAGAGAGGCAAGGTCAGGAGGCGAGTGGAGGAAGTTTCACTCCCTCAAGCTGAAGTGGAAAACTTGGCCATTTCTCAGTCTGGCCACGTTGGAGGTGAGGTGACGGTTGCTGAGGAAGGGCCCATTGTTGCGAAGAAGAGGAGGCTAGAGCAACAAGAGGCCGTGGAGGAGGTACTGGAACCCGTGACTTCATTCCTTTGCCTGGAAGGGACCTCGTCAGCCTCGGCTACTGAATTTGCTGCTGCGCTCTGGGAGCAAGGGTACATCCGAGCGCAAACAACGAGCTTCTATGACTCTGGGATGAGAAGCACAGCAAAGAGGTTCATCAATGCTTACTTCCCGGAGGTGGACCGCCAGCATGCGAAGGACGAGGTGGCTGCCAGAGGTTCAGTTGGCGTTGTTCGTCAAGCGCTGGAGGTATGGTACCTTTATCTTGCTTAGAGTTTGAGGATTCTGATCTTATTAAGTGTTTGACGAGCTGAGGTTGTTCTATTGTGTAGGCTATTAACCTCGTGAATGCTTTGGCCAATGAGCATCACGAGAGTTTGAGGGAGAGGAACCAGATGAGGAAGGATAACGCCGAGCTCGTCAAAAAGAACGAGGAGGCCGAGGCCGAGGTGGCGAGGCTGAAGGCGGAGATGGAGGAGCTCTGGAAGGAAAACGCCACCTTTAAAAAGGACTCGGAGATTTCGTACCAGAAAAGGAAGATATGCGAGGCCGAGCTCGAGAAGAGGGAGAAGGAATTGGAGGAGGCGGGGAAGGCAGTGGCTGAGTTGGAGCTCAAGGTTCACAACTCAGTTGAAGAGCATGTGGAGGGGTTCCTGAAGTCCAGCAACTTCGATGACACCGTCAACCTCTAGCGTCTCCCTACTATGATTGTGGCCTTCTCTGACTGTCGGAATAAGGTAAAGTTGCAGTATCCTAATGTGGACGTGACGAAGATCACCTTTGGGGATCAGGAGGGGGAGGTGGAGGAGGATGGAGAGAGCAGTACTGCTGACTTCCGCTCAGAGGTAACGCTGAAGTGGGAGAGGGACAGCAGAGGTCAAACCATCCTACCTCCTAAGTTCAATTTTGAATTTGTGGCAGTTGATGAAGAGGGAACCAAAGGTGGCGAGATTACTGAAGGTGCTGGTAAGTCAACTAGAGGTGTTGAGCAACCAAGTCAGCCTTCTGATATCCCCGAGCATCCTGTGGCCAACCCCGACCAAACTGAAACTGCTGACTAGATTTGGTCTCGGCTTTTTTTTTTTTTTTTTGGAGAGAGATTCTTTGTAAACGACTAGAATTTAATTGAATGAAATTGATTTGTTACTCGTTTGTCACTTCTGGAGAGGATCTGAGATGGAGAGGTTAGAAGAACTTATAATTGCAACTAAGTTTAGAGAAATGAAATTGACTTCGTCCTTGATTGACGTCATCTTCAATTGTATTAATTACAAAAAAATGTCCAACAGAGTAAAGAAACAAACTTAAGGATGGAATTTTTTGAGATTTTTAACATTCCAAACTCTGGATACTCTTTTGCCTTCGGCATCTTGGAGAATGTATGCACCGGGGTGCGGGACCTCGGTTACAATGTAAAGGCCTTCCCAGTTTGGTGCTAGCTTGCCATATCGGGTCTCGAACCCTGTGAGCCCAACCTTTCTGAGGACGAGGCCATCGACTCTGAAGTTTCGAGGTCGGACCCGTTTATTGTAAAGGTTGGCTATTCTTTGTTTGTATGCAAGAGTCCGAAGTCGAGATTGCTCTCGGACTTCGTCTAGGAAATCAAGGTTTTCCCTTAGTAGACGCTCATTTTGAATTGGCTCAAAGTGGCTGACCCTTAGGCTTGGGACACCAATTTCGACAGGAATGACTGCCTCGGTATCGAAGGCTAAGTGGTAGGGCGTTTCGCCTATTTGCAGGAGACTATAACTTTAGGATTTACTTTAAAGGGTAGTTTGTAACTGTGAATAAGGTAATAAAAGAGAGAATTCAAATGAGGGACATACCTGTGGCAGTTCGGCTTGTTGTCCGGTAGGCCCACAGGAGATTGTTAAGTTCATATGCCCACTTTGTTTTCAGCTGATCTAACCTCGGCTTGATTCCTTCCAAGATGGTTTTGTTGACTGATTCAACCATTCCATTGGCCTCGGGATGATAGACGGAAGTAAACACCAACTTAATCCCGTAGTTGGAGCAGAAGTCCCTGAAGGAGTTACAATTGAACTGGGGGCCGTTGTCGGCAATGATTTAGTTCGGTATCCCATATCTGCAAATGACTGAATTGAAGAGGAAATCCTCAATTCTTCTCGAAGTCAGACAAGAGAGAGGTCTGGCTTCTACCTACTTGGTGAAGTAATCAATAGCAACCACTAAATGCGTTGCCCCCCCTACTGCTTTGACAAAGGGGCCTAGGAGGTCAATTCCTCATTGAGCAAAAGGCTAGGGTGCAATCATGCTGGTGAGTTCTTCGGCTAGCTGATGGGTGAGGTGGGTGAAGAACTGACATGTCTGGCATCTCTGCACGAATTTCTTTGCATCTTCTTGCATGTTAGGCCAATAATATCCTTGCCGAAGTACCTTATGTGCCAGAGTCCTGGCTCCCACGTGACTGCCACATACCCCATCGTGTACTTCTCTTAGTACGTACTCTACTTCGTATGGTGTCAAGCATCTGAGGAGAGACAGCGAGTAGGATCTCTTGTACAAAATGTCGCCAACCAGGGTGTACCGAGAGGCTTTTCTTCGCAACTTCATCTCCTCCTGTTTGTCCCTTGGGACGGTGCCACTAAGGAGGTACCCCCGGATGGGGTCCGTCCAACTAGGAGCCTTTAGATCAGTACTAATCTCCAGCACCCTCGACGTCTGGAAGCTCGGTTCATTTAGTATCTCGATGTACACAGATTTTGCTTCCCTGGAGTTCTCAAATGCTAGTTTCGACAAGGAATCTGCATGCTCGTTTTCTGCTCTCGGAATCTTTGTAAGCTGGAATTTCTCGAAACGGTTTTTCAACTCAGAGACTGCGGCCACATACTTTGCCAAGATGGGATCAACGACTTCGCACATAGAATTGATTTGGTTAACTACCAGTTGTGAGTCACTGTAAATCTGCAGGCGTTTGACTTTGAGCTCGGTCGTCAAACGCAGTCCCAAAAGGAGGGCTTCATACTCGGCCACGTTGTTTGTGGCCTCGAAATTAAATTTCAGAGCGTTTTCACTCTGGAAGTTGTCAGGTCCAGTTAGTACTGCTCTAGCTCCTGAACCCTTACTATTAGATGATCCATCGACATATAGGGTCCATGTTTCTGCCTCAAAATTCGATTCCACCTGATTGGAAGTGCATTTGACCACTAAATCTGCTAAAGCCTGAGCTCGGATTGCCGACCTTTGCTGGAACGCTATTTGAAACTCCCCCAGCTCTACTGCCCATTTGATGAGTCTCCCGGAGCATTCTGGTTTCTACAAAATTTGTCTTAAAGGTTGATCAGTCATCACGATAATAGGATGGGATTGGAAATATGGCCTCAATTTCCTTGCAGTAACAACAACTGCTAGGGCTGCTTTCTTTGCTATTGAGTATCTTTGCTCAGCACCTTACTGGTGTAGTATACCGGTTGCTGTTGTTTCCCCATTTCCCTAACCAAGGTAGAACTGACAGCAATATCAGATATTACGAGGTAAAGATAAAGAATTTTGCCTTCTTGAGCCCTAGTCAGTAGGGGCGGCGAACTGAGGTAGGCTTTGAGCTCGTCAAAAGCCACCTGACACTCAGTCGTCCAATTGAACTTCTGGGGTTTTCTCGTTTCATCCTTCTGAGCTGTAGTTCGCAAGACCTTAAAGAAAGGCAGGCACTTATCTGCTAATTTGGAGATGAATCTGTGCAGTGTTGCTATCCTCCCTGCTAGGCGTTGCACGTCCTTGGTTGACCTCGACAGTTTCATCTCCTCTATTGTTTTAATCTTCTCAGGGTTGACCTCTATCCCCCTTCTGGAAACCATGAGACTTAGGAATTTGCTTGATTCGACGCCGAAAGTGCATTTTGCTGGATTCAATTTCATGCTGCACCTTATAAGGTTGTTAAACGTATCGGCCAGGTCAGTCAGGTAGTCTTCTGCTCGAGAACTTTTGACGACAATGTCATCCACATAGACTTCCAGGTTTCTGCCAATTTGAGCTCGGAACACGATTGTGACCATCTTATGGTATGTTGCTCCCGCGTTTTTAAGCCCAAACGGCATCATCACATAACAGTAAATTTCATCTCCGGCATAAAATGAGGTTTTCACCTCATCCTCGGGTGCCATACGGACTTGATGATACCCCGAGTAGGCATTCAAAAGGCTTAACCTTTCATTCCCTAAGGCAGCCTCTACCAGCTTGTCTATGCTAGGCATAGGATGGCAATCTTTGGGGCAGGCGTCGTTGAGATTGGTATAATCTATGCACATGCGCCACTTGCCGTTTGACTTTTTTACCATGACGGGGTTGGCGACCCACTCGCAGTAGTCTACTCTCTTGATGAATCCTGCTTGCAAGAGCTTATGCACTTCCTCCTTAATAGTTGTGAGTCTGTCCCCCCCGAACAGTCATTTCTTCTGTGCTACTGGCTTCCTCAAAGGACTGGTGCTGAGTTTGTGTACTGCCACCGAAGTTGGGATTCCAGGCATGTCAGCCGAGGTCCATGCAAACACATCCTTGTTTGCTTTTAGGAAACCCACGATCTCTTCTTTTTCTATGGGTGTCAGCTTCGTGCCGATCTGAGTCCTCTTGGAGGGGTCATTATCATCGAGTTGCACCTCTTCGACTTCCTCGACCGGGGTGGCTCTTGGTTCGTCCTCTGGTCTGTTATCTGGCATCTCTACACCCATTATCTGTTGGGTATTTGGGACCTCTGGGTGGGGTGGCTCTGGTGATGGGGCTATTTCTTTGTTTCTTCATGACCTCGCAATGGAGGTCATATAACAATGCCTGGCCGCCTCTTGGTTGCCTCTCAAGGTTGCT